GTACAATGAAAAGGTGGCTGGAAGGCACTACCTCTGGCATTTTTAACCAAGAAGACACTAGGAAGAGCATAGATAGAAAAAAAAAAAAAAGTAATGGGAAATGCTAGCAAGAAGTTCACATGTCAATTTTTTGTCTTATTTCCCCCAATGTTTATATTCATAAGTCCATATTTTTCTTTACTATTGTTAAAGTTCAGTTTTAAATCCAGCAGGTTCTGTGTTGAAGAACCCATCCAAACAGCATTGGACAGTTTACCTGCATCACTCTAGGTCACATTTAACCACCAAACAGTGCCTTTCCAAAGTTTGAAACATAAGGCAAATGACACCCCCAAGAAATGAAAGACATGGTGAGACGATAAAATATTGTTCAGTATTTTCTCCTATTTGAATGTGATAAGAAGAGAATCCGCTTGCCATTTGAATCCAAGATGCAAAGAATGTCACCTTTATCAGCCAATTCTCTCACCATCAGCAGAAATCCAAGTGGGTTCAAGAGCTATCGCCTGTCACTGTTGGGATCCTAAATGTGCACTTTCTGAAAATCAACCATCCTGCTGTGTAATCAACAATATTTGCAGAAAACCATAATGCCAAAGGCATATGAAGGTCAGCAACAACATGCCAGAATTCAAAAGAAAAGGGGGGAAAACAAAGAATTTTTAAAAGTTTGCCATTTGTCAATGACTACTTTAATTTCTTTTTCATCTCTGGCCATTTTGGGAGAGGAAAATGGTACCTTAAAACAGTGTTTATCTCTCTTCTCCGCACCTCACCTCAGGATCTCATAAGCTCTCACCTCCGATCTGTAACAATGTCTTAAGTAGTCTTTCTACTTTCAGTTTCTTGCACACTCCACCATCAGTCCACCCTTCATCCTGCCAGAAGATCTTGCCGAAGCTCATACCCAATGATATCATTTCACCTCCTAAAAATCCTTCTAAGGCTCCCTATGGCTTCTCAAAGTCCTCAGAAGGCCTCCAAAGCCCATGACAACCTACCTGGCCCTGCCCATCTCCCCAAGCTCTCCTCATGCTCTGTCCTGTGATCTGTGTATGCTGGAAAGAGCAGATCATCACCCCCTGAAACTACCCTCCATTCACTCAGTCCTTTGTCCCTGGTCTTTCCATTGTCTGGGTTATAATATTTATAATTTATTATAAAAATGCTTTAGCATTGACGACTTCATCTTATTTTCAATTAAGAGCTGCTTAGTGTAAATTTCAACCACAGTACCAATCAATTTCCCTCATCATATCAATTTCCCTCATCACTAATCCTCCACAGTTGATTTCATTATATCAGAAATCGGATTCTAGAGGGATTTGCGACCAGTGCACATACTGGTATCTTGATCAAAACTGTACATTTTACCAGTTAACGCATGAATGTAAGAATGAGCTTTTATTGGTGCAGTTAATCATGAGTTGCTTAACAGCTGTTAAGATGAGCCTCATCATAAAAATGAACTGGTAAGTCAAGATATTTGGATTCCCTTGCAAGAACACGTAATAAGAATATAACACGTACTATACACATCTTAGCTCAAAATAGATTCTAGATCTAAATGTAAAATCTAAAGCTTTAAAACTTGTAGAAGAAAACACATGAAAAAAAAAATTAGTGACTTTGTTTAGAGTCTTAAATCTAACACCTAAAGCACTGTCCGTTAAGGAAATAAATGATAAATTGAACTGCATCAAAATTTAAAACCATTCTTTGAAAGATACTGGTAAAGTGGAGGGAAAATAAAAAGTGCATCTCTTCCCCCTGGCTGCCTGAAGATCATTGGCCACCATCATGAACAACACAGAGACTGTGGAACCAGGAAGCTTACGACAACAAACTACCTAAGTGGAAACAAATAGCCATTGATGTCCTTCACCCATCAACAGTACCAAAACAGAAATTCAGGGGAAAGTAGTCAAAATGTATTAAACTTTAGCAGATGCTAGCTTTGTGTTTAGATTCAGAACCCATTTTGGTGGCGGCATTTTAGCTGGCTTTGGCATGGTTTATTTGGCATGGGGTTATGCAAAGAAAAATGAACCAAACATAGACTCACAAGACATTGCCTATAAGAGAGGAAGACCTCAAGAGCTCAGAGAAAGGAAGCCAAGAACAGGATAAAGAAAGTCAGAGGTCTGTAGAGGCCATCATTGGTGCTGCAGAAAGTGAACTGGAGCCTGGACAACAGAAGGAGTAAAGATTCTTCTGACTTTATCTGTGGTGACTGAAGATTTTTCATGAGAGGGTTAATAGGCTGGTAGAAAATATTTGCAAAATGCATATCTAATGAAAGACTTGCATCAAGAAAAAATATAATAAACTCTCAAAAGTTAGTAGGACAACAACCTAATTAAAAAATTAGACAAATGATGGGAACACAAAGATATATGGACAGCAAATAAGCCTATGATATGCCCAATATCATTAGTCACTAGGAAACACAAATTAAAACCACAATGAGATATCACTATACATCTATTAGAATGACTAAACTTTTTTTTTTACCTGACAAATTCTTGAAGTGAAATAAGCCAGACAAGGAAAGATAAATAGTCATGGTATTATTACTATATGCAAAATCTAAGGGGAGAGAGAGAGAGAGAGAGAGAGAGAGAGAGAGAGAGAGAGAGAGAGGCTGAGGGAGTGGAGGAAATGGGAAAGATTGAGAAAAGGGTACAGACTTTCATTATACGATTAATAAGGCCTAAGTGCCTGGAGCTTTAATGTAAAACATGGTACCTATAGTTAATAACACTGTACTATGTAATTTAAATTTGCTACTAGAGTAAAACATAAATGTTCACACTAAAAAAAGGAACTAGATTATGTGAGGTAATAAAGGTGTTAATTAATTAGATGGGGGAATCCTTTAACAATGTATACCTATATCAAAACACTTTAAATATCTTATGACTATACGGTGCCAATAGAGCTAAAATTTAAGAAAACAAACAATACTAGGTGCTGGTGGAAGATGTGGAGCAACTGGAACCCTTGCATGTTGCTGGTGAGATAGGAAAAGGTACAGCTACTTTGGAAAACTGTTTGGCAGCTTCTTATAAAATTAAACATACACCTATCATATGACCCACCAATCTACTTTTAGGTATTTACCCAAGAGAAATGAAAATGTATACAAATACCTGTACACGAAGCAACTTTATTCATAAGCACCCCAAATTGGAAACAACCCAGATGTCACCTGGTGAAGAGTGAAATTGTGGTACATCCATATGTGGGGGACTGCTCAGCCATAATAAGGAATGAACAACATGGATTTATCTCAAACCCTTATAACAGAGTAAAGGAAGCCAAACTCCAAAGGCGACATTCTATACAATTCCATTTATATGACATTCTGGAAGAGATGAAACCATGGGACAGAAAATACATCAGTGGTTGCAAGATCTTGGGGTGTCAGTAGAGATTGACTTCAAAGGGGACAAGGAAATTCTGATGGTGATAAGACTATTCTGTAATGATTATGGTGGTGTTTATATAACTGTATGCATTTCTCAAAACTCATAGAAAAGTACCCTAAATAGGGTGAATTTTCTTGCTTATAAATTATTAATATTTCTCAGAAAACCTGACTTAAAAGGGAAGATGGCCATCAAGTCTGTGTTTGCCTCGCTGGGGATAAATGCCCAAAGTTTTTGCAGCCATGTGTTTAGGAATAGTTCTTGTTACCTGATGCCAACCATAAGGGTAACAGAATCCTGACCAGTATTGTGTCTTATCTCCCTCCAGGAGCATCAGATACATTCATCTAAAACAATAGAGAGTTAGGACTTCACTGTGTGAACTATAAATGGTGTTTCTGTTTTCTTTTTAAAATAAATACCTATGCGTGCTTTTAATTTCAATTTAATACAAAGGTAATGAAGTAGCAAATGCTTACCCACCTCAAGCATCTCTGACAGTTACTGATATCTACCAAAAAGAAACGAAAAGGGGATGGAGGAGGTTGAAGAGGGTATGGGGGATAAATGGTGATGGAAGGAGACTGGACTTGGGGTGGTGAACATGCAATGCAATGTATTATAGAATGGTAGGGCTGAGACCGGCATAATTCTATTAACCAATGTCACCCCAATAAATTCAGTTAAATCAAATAAAAAGAAATGAAGAATTGTGCATCACCAAAATGACTCGGGCCATTTCAACACAGAAATACACTTCTTCCTCCACCTCATTCAGATGTGCCCTTTCCAGACACTCGCAGTGTATGTGCTTCTTAGGGAAACACTGCCCTCTTTTGGTCATTGTTTTCTTGGTCAGCCCTACCAGGTTGTAGTGTTCAAGGACACAAATTGAGTCTTACATTCCCAGGGCCTAGCACAATTTTTAACAAATTCATGGATGTTTTGTGTTTTATTTAAGTAATAGACTAACATTAATAAATATGCTAATAGTGATGACATCCAGCCTTACTATGCACTTCCTCCATGTCAGGCCCTATGCCAAACACTTTCTATGTGATAGCTCCTAAGGTATGGTATTGTTCTCATTCCCTTTGCACAGATACGGAAACTGAGACAGATAGAGACAATAACTTGCCTGAAGTCACACAACTAATAAGGGTTGGAATTGGCAATGCAAACCAAATGTAGTCTCATTATACAGCTTACACATTTTAGATCTGTGACATCCGCCTCTCATTTTTACTACAAGGATATCTGTTGAAAAATGTAATGCTTTTCACACTATGCATGCAGTCCTGTCACTGAAAAGGATTTTAGAGCTCATCTATTTCTCCCTCACAGCATGTGCATTGAATAAGCAAAAGCCACAGACTCTGATTTGCTCAAGGTCACTTAGCTGCTCTGTGGAGTAACCAAGGCGGCTTTCTGGTGAAGGGGGGAGGGGCACATGCAGTGTTACAGGCCACTGCTTCTGTAAATATTTGAGTGCACAATCACAAAAAGATCTTTATTCTCATCAAAAAGAGGAATTGCTAATTGCTCTCCCCATCTCTCTGTCTTTTCCAGGGTTCACTGTTTCCATTATCTCATCCCTCTTGCAAAGGAGGGGAACTATGCCATCGTTGCCAACGTGGAAAGTATGGATTATGACCCTCTGGTAGTCAAGCTCAACAAAGACATCAGTGCCATCGAAGAGGCCATGGGTGCGAGTCTGCAGCAGCATAAGTTCCAGTACATCTTTGAAGGTCAGCCCTGCCCTGTCCCCGTATGTTCAGGAGGGAGGGAGGGGCCGGTGGCCTGATTTTTCTCTGTCATGGAAGTTTAAAACTTGTGGGAAAAGTTTGTTGGAACTTTTATATCTTTTTTTCTTAAAGCAGCAATGCCTGGTATCTCTGTATGGCCAGGTAGACAACAATATGGCTGCCATCTGCTCCTGGTTGATAAGGAGATTTAATCCAAGATAAGGCAGATGGCAGCAGGCTGCCTCCCTGACATGCCATTCATGAGAGTTGGATAAATGTGTGGAGGGCCCCAAATTCACTCAAGAAGAGCTCCTGAAAGAAAAAGAAACATATACCATGAGGAGAGGGTTCTGAAAACTCCCTCCTGGCTAAAACATTCTCTCTGAGAATGCATTACTGTCAGAAAACAAGGAAAACAAAGGCACCCTCCGATGGGCATTGATTTTAGGAAGGCTGCATCCTGAATGCCTTCAGGGCGGGTGAAGGCAGGGGAGGCTATGGAGACAGCACTGTGGTGCCAGGCAGGTAATTTTTCCTGCTGAATTCCTTCCTAGGGTCCCTGTCAGGGCTTCCCAGTGCCTCCCCTTTTTCTTCTTTTGGTTTCTTTGAACATAGACCTGGGCACTAGAAGCATCCATGGTGTATCTTGGAATGAAACCAGTGTTGTTTACAGCTACTCAGAGGTGCGTCGTTTAAAGGATTGTAGCCACTGAATGAGAGGCAGTGGTGATGCCTGACCGTCGATTGATTCATGAAACAGTTGTATTCCAAGAATGTGGGCCTCCAAATCTTATAAAACTACCTGTTAGTGAGCGCCTGGCACAATGGATTTGGGGGCAGCGGTCACGCTCTGTAGCTTGAATCTGAGGTGTCCATCTGAGAATTCACTTCTCCCTCCTGCAAAGTCCTCTCTGGTCTTTACCGGGGCTCTTCCAAGCCCTACATTCTCTCTCCCAGAGTTTTCCTCTCACTGTGCCCAGGCCGTTCTTCACATGGAATCCTGCTGGGAGACCACGTCGCAAAATACAGGCCTGATCCTCTGACTTAGAATTGATTTTAACCAGGAAAGTTTCAGACTATGTTTTAAAAGCCAGTTATTTCTCTGCAATGTAATTTTCTAAATTCAAAAGGTGTAATGTTGAGTTTCCTCACGCTGAAGAGGAGGTGACAGTTAAGTGTTCCTGCCTCATATTTAATACTTCTATGAGTGGTGGGGGGGGGGGGTACTTCATCCCAGCTGTGGTTTATAATTGCTGTATATAATAATAACATAAAGAGACCAATTTCTAATTGGTTTTATTATTTCTTATTATTATTTATTACATACATTTTTATGCAATATAGTTATTAATATTTACTATTTTTATATATGTTTTTATTTCAAAGAGAGGAAGGGAGAGGAGAGAGATGGAAATATCAATGATGAGACAGAATCATCTATCAGCTGCCTCCTGCATGCCCACTACTGAGAATCAAGCTTGAAACTGGGGCATGTGCCCTGACTAGGAGCCAAACCATGACCTTCTGGTTCTTAGGTCAATGTTCAACCATTGAGCCACACTGGCCGGGCAGCATTTATTATTCTTTACAAACAATCCACTTGCCCGCAGCCATTGCCTACACTTAGGATCTACTGCAAATGGCAGAACAGAATTATACCTGGGAATATGGGCTCAGGAGTAGCAGCTGAAACTTGACCTACAGGGATTTTTCACAGAAGTCAGTTGTCTGGAATTAATGTAAAATCCCTGTGTGTCTTTTCTTCACTTTCAAGTAGTAGCACATGCAATTGGGCTTGCGAGCTGGAAGCAGTGTTGGTGAGGATAGCAGAACAAAAGAGAACACCCCTTCCTCTCCCTTTGCTACCTTCATCCCATCTGAAAGGGAACTCATTTTGAAGACAGAGGGAGCAATTATACCCCAAGATGCACCCTAAGCTCTGACTTGAGCCACAGTCACTGTGTAGGGACTATTCCTTCAGAAGAGGAAAGTAACAAATACAGCAGACCATTTGGGACCAGTCAGACTAGCACTCAAGTTTGGGGAAACAGCTGCTAAAGTTCAGCTCTGAAAGAAAAAGGGAAAAAAGAAGAACTAGAAGTTTACTTAATTCCAAGTATTTAGAATTGGAATCTGGCTTCTTGAAATGTTAATCTACATGTGCCTTGGATTGTTCTGAACTCAGTTACATAGGAGACCCTGAATGGGACTTGTAGTTGTTGATGTTCTGACCTGCTCTTGCTCAGTTTCATAGACCTCAAGATAGTCCTTTGGCATCAAGAACAAACCACTTATCAGACTCTAGAAATGCCAATAGCTATCTCAGAGGAACTCAACAGTTAATGCATGATCTGCTTTTCTTTCACACTTTGCTTCTGCTTACACTCTCTCCAGTTGCCACTTCAGAAATATACTCCACCGTCAGTGTTGAGGTGTATTAGCATAAGTGCCAATAGCCCAACTTCTTATTGATTTATTTTTGCTTAGGAAGGTCCCAAAGCAACTTTTGAGGTAGCATATACTCTTACCTGTTGTGTGGAAAAAAGAGAGCTCAAACACATTGTATTTATATGTGTTCACCACTTCCAAAATGCCTGTACAGGAAAAGAGTTCCTGCACTGTAATAGTTTATGAAACCTGGCATATTCACCAAGCCCTGTATGGTGATTGGGTGTACGTGGCAGTGCAGGAGCTATGGATTTATCAGGTTTTGTTGCCAACGAAGTCTACCCATTTTTCAGTACCAGGGCAGCATATAAATACTCTAAAATCATTGTGACACTATCTGGTGCAACCATCAGAGATATGTATTCTTAGGTCATTTAAATGGTGGAGGATTAGAAGAGAGAAATCCTGTGTGTCGGTTTATGTACAAGGTCACTAATCTATCGTTTCTTGTCTCCCTACCGCTGTGCCCATCCATCAGGCCTAGGACACCTGATCTCCTGCATCCTCATTAATGGTGCCCAATACTTCCGGCGCATCAGTGAGTCTGGCATCAAGAAAATGTGCAGGAACATTTTTGTTCTTCAGCAGAATTTGACCAACATCACCATGTCACGGGAGGCAGACCTGGACTTCGCAAGGTAAGAGGGACGATTAGGCTCAGTTTCTTGTACCAAAGCCTACGAAGTTATTTTTAAAAGTAGCTTATTAGTTCTTAAAAGGTTAGTTTAGCCCAACCGAGGTGGCTCAGTGGTTGAGCATCAACCGTGAATCAGGAGGTCACAGTCTGATTCCCAATCAGGACACATGCCTGGGTTGTGGGCTTGATCCCCAGGTGGGACATTTAGGAAGCAGCCAATCAATGATTCTCTCTCATCATTGATTTTTTTTTTTTTTTTATCTTTCTCTCCCTCTCCCTTCCTCTCTGAAATCAATGGGGGGAAAATATTTTAAAAAGAAAAGGTTAAACAGGTGCTTAATATTAATTAAATTTAATGTGATCTTTTTGCAATATATACATACATAAAATAACATGTATGTATATATTGTACAACTGAAACTAATATGCTATATATTAATTATATTTCAATTTTTAAAAAGCAAAAATAAATAGATTTTCATCAGTCATAGAGAAAGTAATTCTATAAAATTCTATTGGAAACAGAACATCCATTAGGCAATTTATCCTAATATTTAATCTAAGTTTTTCTTGCTGCAAAACTTCACTAACCTTTTTTTTTTAGGGGAGTTATAAAAGTATTATGTGCTATTATATAACATCTATATAGATAGCACCAGTAGAGTCCTCGGCCTGGCCTGCAGGGATTGGGCCAAAACTGGCAGTCCAATATTCCCTAAGGGATTCCAGATTGTGAGAGGGGGCAGGCCTGGCTAAGGGGTGTCACCGGTGCAGGAATCCATGCACCAGGCCTCTAGTATATAATATAAAATACAAAGAAGTTTATAAACATTACTCACAAAATTTTAATCTAGAGACTATGATTTTTGGTATACTTTCTGTGTGTAGGGGAGTTTTGTACTTGCATATACATACAATTTCTCTTTTTACAAAATTAAAACTATGTTAATGTGGCTTTATATTCATTTAACTGTATTTTTCCTTATCAGATCATTATTCTCTTTGAAAACATGATTTTCCAAAATTTATTAATATTTCTTGAAAATATAACTTTTAATGCCTGAAAATATTACTTTTAATTTCATATTGTAAATGAACCATAATTTATTTATTTAATAACTTGCAAATTTGCAGACACTGGATTTTCCCTTTTTTTCCCCTCTCATTGTAAACAACAGTTATTGAATGTATTTTTACATGAATCTATTTCCTCATCTCTTCTATCTTGTCCCAAAGGAAACCTGCCTCCCCTCGTTTTCCTGTAATCGAAGCTGCTGCTTTTAAACAGCGCTTCCTCTTTTCTAGTTTTGCTGATTTCAGTGTTTAATGTTTCTTTATAATGTGTCTTTTCAAATTTGCGAGTTAATTTTAGTCTCTCTTTATGAGGTCTCAACACCATTTATACCTTGCTTCAGTCATCAGACCGTTGGTGTTTTAATGAAAGTTTAACCAGTTTTGAAGAGGATAGATGATGATTATGGCTTCTCAGTGCTAAGCTTATATCTAGCTGAAATATTCCACAGACTCCTTTATGGCTAAGAAATCATTTGTTTTTAATAATCCAGAGTGCTCCTGCCTCATATAGTACTTCTGTGTCTTTTTGCTTGATACTTTGATTGCCTTAGAAGTTCAAGAAAATTTGAAACAATTCTTGAGACATTTAAGGAACGATGAAGTATTATATTACCTTGACAATTATAAAGACGTATGCTAGGAACTTTGCTTTGGAATCACATAGCCATATATCTTTGTGTTTAACCTTTCTTCTCCAATCTGTCACTGCATTTGTTCCACTGTTGTTCTGCTTCTCTATCCTCCTTTCCTGTCTTATTTTTTCCTGCATGTGTGAGTGTGTGTGTGTGTGTGTGTGTGTGTGTGTGTGTGTGTTCACTCAATTCCCTATTTTAGGCTAAATTTGGTGGAAAGCCTTTCTTGCCCAGATTAGAGAAACCAGGTGTGACTGAATGCTGCATTTATTTGGCCGCTCTATGGGGAATGATCTCATTATTGAATTAGTCTCATAATAACACTGACAAGGGGAACATAAGAACGTGGAGGCCTGAGGGAGAGAGAAACGCATTACTAATTCTCGGAGGAATATATTTTCCTAAATCCAATCATCCTTTTTAAATGATTTTTTTTTTATTTAGCTGAAATAAGTAAATTAACACAATTTTTGGCAGACAGTATGGGCTCAAACACACACTAGAAAAAACTGGCATCTGAATAATAGAATGCTGACTGGGCAGTATTGTAGTTGGCATTGGTGGACTGAGTGAAATAACTGAACAGCAACCAAGGAATGCCTTTCCCAGTTGGATCTGTGACTGAAGGCCAGGGAAGAAGGTATAAGCTAAAACATGGCCATGTGAGACAGGCACTGCTTGTCACTCTCCACTCTCAGTGGGTTATGAAATAGGCTAGTGTAAATGTATGGCATTGGCTGATTCTGTCCTTCCCATCCTGGGTCATAAGACATCTTACCACACTGTCAGCTCAAGGGGCCGAGACTCTTTCTGTCTGTTTCCTTGTTGCTGGTCCAGAGTAAGTGCTCATCGTGTGTATGGAACTAATGAACAGGTACCAAATCCAGGCTTCTTTTGGTGTTGGTGAAGGGCTTGGATAACGCCAAAGTTTAGTTTTATCATTAATGCCCTGAAATGTTAAATCAGCTGGCATGGGTTAATTTCCTTATAGGCTTTTAAGGATCCAATCATCTCACTTGCAGTCCTTTCTTTGTAGAGTGGAAAGTGTTACAGAAAGGAGTAATGGATCCCTACCCTTCATGGGCCTTATCCCTCATTTTCTCTTGCCCTCACACACACACACACCTACATAGACACACTTTACACCCTTATCTTTTTTCTTTCCCGATTTCGGGAGGGTCGGTTTTGTGAAATGGGCTCCATCAATTCTACTGAACTTGAATCTATGTAAATAAATGTAACAGCAATACCAAAATAGCCAGAAATGATAGACTGGAGCTGTGTGCCTCAGCATTCCTTGGGCAATGTCTAATCAAGCATGGACAGCAGCTGTATTTCCAGCCAATCTCTATAGGAACGTTATCTTTTAACACAGTAATTAATCACCAGTCACCATGTGTCAGAAAACTTATTTAACAAGAAGTTGCAAGATGCTTGTAGTTTTTCTCTTCCGTGGCTGTTCTGGCCAGTGGGAAAATTAACGCCCTCTCTGTAATAAAGAAATGAGAGCTCTGAGGGAATTCCATTTATGTTCATTCTCCTGCTTGGGATGGTATGAAGTTGTCTCTTTTTATACACACCTGTGCTCTGTCTAATGTCCAATAGGAGAATAAACTTTGGGTGAGCAAAGGGTCAAGTTGGCCTGTGTGATCACCAGAATTGCAGAGACCCTGTGCTCTGTGGTAATGACCTCTGCTGTGGTTCTTACCCTCTGACTCCAAGATTAATTTTCAAACTCAAAAAGAGGCTTTGTCCTAGAAAATTGCTGGGATTAACTGAAAAGTGGAAGGCTTTATCAGCATGCTTTTTAATTCCTGTCATCAGAGATCATCCCACCCTGAGCTGTCACTCCTCCAGAGCTGGGTCACTGGGGACAGTCTGGCGTATCTCAGGAGTCTGAGTGGGCATTGAAGTCCCCACAGTGGACCTGACAGTGTTTATAGTTTGTGAGGCCATTACTCAGAAAGAATACCCCCGAGTTTTCCTCCTAGTTCTCCTTCCCCCACCCCCATTTCCTCTTTGTGTCTGTCGCTCTTATTACAGTTGCCTCTCTTTTCTCATTTATCTCTCCTGTCACTTCTATTTTCTGCTTTCCTCCTTCAAGGTGTCATCTCTCTTGGATTTCTCCTTATTTTTGTTTTCCTGAAATGGTATCTCTCATTCCTCAATCTGACAAAGGTAAAGAAATGAAAGCTAAGGTTTAGGAGTGGTAAGGGGAGTTCTAATACATAGAAACAAATACTTCCTCAACCTAGTGTTCCTGCCTTCATTCATTCATTCATTCATTCATTCAACAGATATTTATTGAACATGCATCCTCTGTAAATCCTCCCCAATAGAACTTGCATTATTGTTGGGCAAGACAGACATAAATAAAATACGCTGAGTGGCCAGATTATTATGATCTCTGAATGCATAATAATCTGGCCACTCAGTGTATATCTTATACAATAAAAGGCTAATATGCAAATTGTCCCCTTGATCAGGATGTCCGACCAAAAGGCCAGCCAGCCAATTGCCCATGTCCCCTTCCCCTGGCCAGACTGGCCAGCCCCCAACCATGCACGAATTCATACACCAGGCCTCTAATATATATATTGAGTGGCCAGATTACTATGCATTCAGAAATTACAATCATCTGGCAATTCAATGTATATGTATGTCAGAAAAAGGTATATGCTATGGTAAAAAGCTAGGCATGGGAAGGAGAATTGAATGCACCAGGGTATAATGTGAATTTAATCTTCAGTTTTGGAGTTTTTGTGGAATTCCTTAATAAGCTGATAGCATTTAGGGACGGAGCTAAAGGAAGAGGGAGAGTAAATCATGTGGCTCTCTCGGGGAAGAGCATTCCGGGGGCAGGAGTCTAAGAGCAAAGCCCAGAGGGAGGAGTGTGCTTGGTTTTTGAAGAGCAGCAGAAAGGCCAGTGTGGCTGAAGGGGATGAGCAAAGGGAAGAGAAGGAGGTGGGGTCAGAGGTTTAATCTAAGAGGCTGTGATCTTGAAGCCTGCAGTAATGATGTGTTGGCTTTTTACTGTGAGTGAGGCAGGAAGCTGTTAGTATTTGGAACAGAAGCCTACCCTAATCTGACTTACACTGTAAACGAATCACTCGTGCTGCTAGATTGAAAATAGACGATTGGGAAGAGGAGGTTGCAGGCAAGGGCAGAAGCAGATGGAGCTGTTAGAAAGCGACTGCAGCAATCCAAGTGAAAGATGGTGGCGATTCCCAGCAAGATGGTAGCAGTGGCGAGGATGGCAGGTGCTCAGATGAGGATGTATTTTAAAAATACAGCT